TTGTTTTCAATTTCAGCATTAAAAATTTCTTGCTCATGAATATACATGAAGTAGGTTACGAAGCAGGATAACAAATGTTTTGTTTATTGTAACGATATGAAAATAAGTTCTGACATGTAGGTAATTTGTAGGTAGGTAAAATGAAAAATGAACTTGAATGAAATATTATGGTGGGTTTGTTTGTTTAGATGATCCATCCCAAATGTGGGAAAACATGGAATATTTCTTATTCACATGCTATTTAGTTTGACTAAACAAGTCAGGTGACAGGGTAGATGTATTGACCTCAAACACTGTACATGTATTGTCCAATAACTAAAGCCCCACATGGTTTCCAATCTATGAGAACATGCATTTATCCCATGATGCTTTGTTACAGGATATGGTGTGGGGATTCAAGTACAAAACTGTCCGGTGGAACTGGGTGGAATCCATAGAAAAGCCCAGAGTGGTTCACATCCGGTGTACAGATATGATCTCTAAAGGCAACACATATGCACAGGCCACTGTGAGATTTCACAGCAAACAGGTAAAATGAATATTGCCATAGTATTTTAAACAAGGAATATTTTTGACAATTTGACACTTTTGTTATTCAACACAAAAAAATGTAATTTTTGACTTTTGTATTTTCAGTTTCAGTAATTCACACTCTCAAAAATTTCACTCCCAAAAATGGTTCCTTGATTTTTTCTTAGAATTCAAATGCACTTTTGAATGAAAGAGCAGATTTTGAATGAAACACTTTTGTGGGAAGATGACATAATCGGTTGGTCGGTCAATAACTTACTAGTATATTGACATCAGTTTTATTGATGATACAAATTTTGACCCCCTAGAATGATTGTTATTCTTAGCTCTGCATGAAACCCATTGCAATTATTGTTCTTGCATTCTCATTTTATTTTCCACATCTCCACAGACACTCGCTATTTACGACAGATTTGGCCGAATTATGCAGGGGAGCGAGACATCACCGAAAGACGTATTAGAATATGTTGTGTTTGAGAAGCACTTGATGGACAAATACGGATCTTGGCGGATACACGGCAAGATCGTACCACCATGGGCGACACATCGAGAACCAATTATTAAAACAATGGTTGTTCCAAAAACACTTGATACAGTCCCTGAGAAATCATTAGAAGAAAAGGTTGAGGGCGCTTCAGCTACTGCTACAACCTAAATGATTAGATTTCTTGATGATTGAACTTTTTTACAAAAAGCAAAAAAAGAACTTGTATAACACTCTGCAACTAGGCACAGGTTACCCTCTAATAAAATAGAAATTTTGTTAATGTGCCACGGTTGTTTAACTTAACAAATTTTGATGTGCAAGTCCCAAGTAATTTGAGGAATACCCACTCGCTTAATTTTATCATATGCGCAGTAACAGTCAT